CATTATCTTAATAATAGGTATATTACTACTAAAATTAAAAATCCTATAAAAATGAAAATTTGCTTAAAAATAAAAATAATATGGAACTTACAAAAAATGATGGAAATAATAATAAAATAAATAAATAAAAAAGAACGAAAAAGTAGGGGAGAAGGGCAAGTATAAATGGGGTTCCGTTATAAACGAGTGAATTTTGGTTATTATGAAATCTCATATTTTTCTTTTTCTGTTGTAAAAAACACAAAACAAAACCCTAATTCTATCGATTCAGTTTGGGCCTCGATATACGTATCTCTCTCTCTTTCTTTTGTCTCTTGGAATCCAACCCTCTCAACCATCGATCCTTCAATCTCGATCGTCCGATCCACCTCCCCCTTCCTTTCAACACAGGTATTCCGATTTTTCTCATTCCCCAGTTTGATGTCTTCCTTTCATTTCCTTTGCTCTTAAAATTTTTTTTTTAATTTCTTATTTTTATATGGGAAATTTTGTATGATTGATCTGAATCCTTCAATCTATTGTGAATTTCCATTGAATCTGCATTGTTCTATCGAAAGAATTTATTCCGCTTTTTACTGTTGTTTTGGTAATTTCCTGATCGAATTGGCTCTTTGAAATCTTGTGCTTGGAATAAGGAAAATAAAGTACCTATTTGAAATATGATGTCTGGATGCATGCATTATTGATTAAGGAAAATGGAAAACCAAAAATTTTATTTTTGAACCTTAATTTGGGTTTTTTAGAAATATGCTTTCGAAAAGCTGGAGGCGTCTGTTACAGTCTCTTTTCTCGTGAATTTGGTTGCGGCTAATCAGGTTTCTTTGTGATTGAATTCAGAAAACATGGGTGTTAGTCTGCAACTGATCTTATGTAAGAATTCCTTCTTGATTGCGTGAATTTTGACTTCTTCGTAGTATAATACTCTTTTTTTATTAGAGAAATCACAATGTTCATTTGGCAGATTTCGCGTTGCTAAGTGATTTATATACCTGCAATTCTATTATCTGCTTTAAGGAATTGCGAAAAGTGGGAAGCTTGGGAAACTGTGAAGAATCTAGTGAAGAAGCAGTGTTATATGTGTTAGGAATTAGTTAGTATTCTCAAAAATAGTCAGAACAGCATTGAATATGGTCGGGGATATAATTTGTTTTAGCCTTTTGTAAAATATAAAAGAAGGGGGGGGGGGGGGGAAAAGAGCCTCCAAGGAAGGTGGATTTGCTTGCCATAGTTCTGTTCTCCTTCTTCTTGTCTATTAATTATAAGTACTTTTCATTCTATTGCAAGCCCAAGAATGTTATATCTGAATTTAGTAAGCTAGGTTCTAACTGGAACTTTCAAGCGTGGTAGTGAAGCTTTATAATGAGAATATTTTCAGTGTTATGGGTAAGCACATTGTGGACAAAGAATGAAGCTTGCAAATTCTTAAATTAGAGCAACAGAAGCTTTTGTTCATTTTATTTTTTTGGATCATGTTTTGGTCTGAGATGCAAGAGCTAGGCACTAACTGTAACCTTTAAATGTGGCGGAAGGAACTTGAAAATCAGTCAATTAAATTTTATAAATTTTATCTTTTTCCATTATGCAGAAATAATGAATTTTAAAATTTCTTAATTCTTCACCAACTTTCATATAAGCACATGTATGTTTGAGTTGCAAGTTCTTGGTATGTAGCTGGAACTTTGATTTTTGATGGGAATAATTTATTTGCATATGTTGTATCTATTTTCAAAATGTATCTGTAAGAAGAAACCATGCTTGGAAAGGCTTGTGAAAGATTTTTGCAATTGTCATTTCATTCTGTGTCGTTCTTTGATGAATTATAAAAATGTAATTATTTGTCATCGTCTTGGGATTTTGATACTCTGTTAATATGGTGTACTTACTTTAATTCTTTGATTATTATTCATGTCTATTATTATTTTCTGGTTTGCCCTTTTAAAATTCTTCTTAAGATAATGGATCTTATTGTTTTTTATGGGGGAACAGCTGTTAGATAATGAATAAGGTATACTGGCCGATGATAAAAATTAAGGCTTTGTTTGGTTGGTGCTTTTACTTTTTTAACTAAAAAGTAAAAAGCGAAAAGTACAAAAATGAATTGAAAACAAGAGACAAATAGCCAAATGTAAAACGCAGCATAAACTAAAGGGAGCCTAAATGCCGTTCTATAACTCGTGATCTTCTAATGTTATTGGGATATAAGATTTTGCTCATTGAGTAGGAAACTTGTTTACTCAGGGTGTAGTTCTCAGGTTTAGTTTTGATATGCTTTCTTTAACCGGATACCTGTTATAGACTTGAAGTCCAGGGACAAGATTGTATTTATTTGGTCTCAACAGACTAGCATCCTTGAATCAATGTATTAGTTGGAGCTTTTTTGATTCCAATACATTTTTTATTGTAAAAACCATCTGCGTATGTGTATTTGATTGTGAGAAGTGAACTTTTATTTTGTTCCTTCTTTTTTTTTTTTTTGGCTGTCTTCACTTTTAGGCCTATTTTAGTAACAAGCTAGAGAAAATGAGAAATGACAAGTGCTCTTGCTTTTTCTGATTATTGATTGCTCGAGTCTTTTCATACATCATTGATTTAGTAAATTGCTGTCTTAAACATTTCAGGACTATATTTGGCCACAACAATGTCTCCTGCATCCAAGTCTAAGTCCAAGGATAAAAAAGCTGGCAAGGAATCTCAGAAGGCTTCTTCAAAGCATTCAGGACCTTCTAATGCTGGTAGTGGTGTTCCAGCTAGTGCATATAATCCACTTTTGGGAACATTCCATACCATTGAAACAGTGCCATCTTCCTCTGCTACACCTCTTCAAAACAATGGTCGTTTCCGAAACATAGATGAGTCAGATGAGCATTTGGGGGGTTCACTTGGAGCTGGGGTTGAGTATGATTCTGTATCTAATAATGATAGCTGGTCTGGCGAGTCAGAAGATCACAAAGAGAAAACATCTAATCCTCCTGTCAGGCAGGAAATCATACCAGGCGCTGACAATGATAAGCGAGAAAAAATTCGTCAAAAGAATGAGAGGAAACATCAGCGTCAGAAGGAGAGGCGAGCTCAGGAGTTGCATGAGCGGTCCAGTGGCTATCTCATGTCAAGAAAGCTTGAAGCACTTGCTCAGCAGCTTGTAGCAATGGGATTTTCACATGATCGGGCAACAATGGCACTTATATTGAATGAAGGCAAAGTGGAGGAGTCTGTGGCATGGCTTTTCGAAGCAAGTGAAGAAGCAGTTAAGCATAAGGAATCAAATATTGGCAGTGGGAACTTGAAAATTGACATATCGGAAGAGCTTGCACGGATTGCTGATATGGAAATCAGATACAAGTGTACAAAGCAGGAGGTTGAAAGAGCAGTTGTTGCTGCTGAAGGTGATCTTGAGAAAGCAGCAGAAACCTTAAGTACTTTGAAGCAGGACCCACCTACTCCACCAAAGCCAGAAGAAACTGGTGATCCCCTGACTGCTAGTACCAATAAGGTGTCAGTGGCAGCTAGTCAAAACCTATCAGTAAGGCCACAACCAAAACCAAATGTATCTTCCGCAACACAGCAAAGAAGGGATGAGAAGGATTTTAACTATACAAAAGTAGCAGTTACAGTGGTAGGTTCTTCAGAATCCATGAGTAAAAGTTTCCAGCCTTTGAAGAGAATACAGCCGAAGATGGAATTGGCAAAACCCCAACAAAGTGCACTTCCAGCTGACAAAAGGTGGCCAGGTTCCGGATCAAATCCTTCTGTTTCTTATTCCTTGGCATCACCTTTGCAGGCCTCACCTCCACCAGCAAAGACAGAAAACCGTTATGTGGCTGTTGGAAGTGATTTTAAGAACCTTCAGCCATCAATTAGGGAACCCGTTATAATGATGCAGCGACCTCAATCTGTAAATACAAAACAGATTCCTGCTACAAGTATAAGCTCATCTCCTCCTGGAACAACCTCCTTTATGTATCCAACCAATAGTGTTGAAATTCCAAAGTCTAATGGCTTTATGCCCCATATTCCGAGTGCTAGAAGCCTTAGTTCCAACAGTTTGAGTTCAAATCAGGTGCATCACCAGTTTTATTATCCACAACAGCAACACTTCACATCCAGCAGTGGTCCAGGAGATTCTCCAAGAACAAGCCGAGCAAATGGTTTATGGAGTAGAACAGGTGCATCAACAATGCTTGCACCCGCATCTTCACTTGGACTTTTCACCGGTGTGGGTTCTACCACTTCATCAGGAGCGTCTTCTCCAGTTGACTGGAGCAGTGGTAGCTCAATGGCACAGTTGGACTATACCAATATTGATTGGAGCTTAGATAGGGGGTTGTCTTCTTCTCCAAGGCCTGGTGGAATTTGGCTCGGACCCACATCTCCTATGAAGACCGCTTACATGTATTATCCTAATACAAATGGATTAACTGCTAAACCCGCAATGAGTTTGACACCTAATGGGAACGGTGTACCCATTGCAGGGTTGCAGGATAGTGGAGTAGCTCCTGCTGATTCTTCAACTGCAGGCTCGCACGAGTGGACTTCACCATTTGAAGGGAAAGATCTTTTTAGCTTACCCAGGCAGTTTGTTTCTTCTCCCTCACTCTAGGGTAGGGAAAAGTTTTATGGAATAAAAAATGAAAGAAAAGACAAAATGTGCTTGGATTTGATGTTACCGTTGGTTCTTATGATGTTTGATTGCTGGTGAATATCATTTTAGTGAGAAAAAAGCATCCGAGTACTCTTGTTCTTTTTATATCTATCTGCACTTATTTATTCACTATCATTCAGGCTTTGAAAAGAGGGAATCTGAAGGGAACAAAAACAAAAAAAAAAAAATACAAGAGGCCTTCTGGTGTGGAATTTTTTAACCTAAAGCGTTACAATTGTCTACTGCCTGAGCTGATGGCAACTCGACATTTTAAATTTACATACATTGTCTGATAGCATTTATAAAAACATGAATTGATGTTGTGTATAATATAATAAGCAAACCTTATACGCAAAAACAGTTTAGTGTTCTTCGGTAAGGATGAATCACTCCAGAGTTTGTGATGCTTCCGATGGTTGACAAGCACTCGCTGAAATATGTTCTTTGTACCACTCATTTTCTTCCCGGTTGATAAAGTTGGCCTCTGCATTAAGAACGAAACATCCGTCAGCTCATGCCACTAATTTTTCCATAATAATAATAAAACAAAAAAACCATGCAAATAAAGATACCATGCAATCACACTCATTGTATTTTATCTCACCAATCACTTGACAAAATAAAGTTCATAATCCTCAAAAGACAAATATTAACAACTTAATATTTCTGTCGTTTGGTTGGAAAAAAATTTCCTAATCCAAATAAACAAGAATATATTATATTAAGTGCAATTATGTTAAAAGAATGATGAATCAGAGTCATATAACTTAAACAAGGTACAAACATCAATATTTCTAATACTTTATACTTACCAGTGAAAGGCTTAAGGCTTCAGAATATATATATATATATATATATATATATATAGAGAGAGAGAGAGAGAGAGAGAGAGAGAGAGGAGAAATCAAATAAATTACTTGCAACTTGCCTGACAAAAATACGTCACAGTAATCATTGTCGTCATACACAAATTGAGGAGGATCAGGAGAGCCGATTCCAACAATGGTGCTTCCACTGCGTTATGTATGTCAAATTAGCAATGAGTTTTCACTTTCCGGCAACTAAGATGATTGAATGAAATGTCAATAAAAACAGGTCCAGCCATCTTTGTTTGGCAACGAAATCATACACTAGCATGTACATCAAATTAACATAGAAACAAATAAACAGATGACTCAAAAACTGAACATGTTTTTCTTCCATTTTTCTTTCTTTTCTTTAAATAAGGTATTTCAAATAACACTCAACAACAAAGGTTTGCAATTAGCAGCTCATTGGTAATTATTGCTTACAAATCTTTTAATGGGTTTAAAGACTTGTCCACACATTTTCCCTATCTAGTCTGTTTAAGCACAAGATATCAGGCCTCATTGAGTCTGGGCATAATAATTTACAGTGAATGCTGGAATAGACATCAAAATTTAAAGAGTCTCTGTACAAAATTGTACCTTCCACTCATAAAAACAGCATCATATTGTCCACGGCCAGCTGCAATTACACGCTGCTTTAGCCGTTTAAGAGACGGTAGTACTTCCAAGGCAGGAGGTTCTGCAAATAATATACACAGATTCATATAAGGCAACGCATCTCTAATTCTATGATTAGCATGGCCCAGTTTGACTTCCACTAAGAATAAGCATATTTATAAACTCACTCAATCTAAATTAAATTCCAAATTTGGAGTAAAGATGAGAAGAAGGACAATTTGATGCATAAAGGCTGTGACAGTGATATATGCTCAAATAATATTTCACCAAATATTGTCCTCTCAAAGAGTCAAGTCAGGTCAAATTATCAGCCCAAATAAACTTCTCCTGATTATATAAGCATCAAGAGCAGGTTTCCAAATATGAGTAAATGCCAAAGAAAGATAAGGGGAATAGAAGATGCAGTTGATTCTTTATGTATTCATACCCAAATCATTGATACAGACATCTTGAGATATTCCATTCCTTGATATCTTCTCCAGCAATGTCAAAGGATCAACCTTACTGGTTTGATCTAGTCGAAGACGCTGAGATATCAGAACTTCTCTTAGCTATAAACTACTGCAAGCAATAAAAGTAGAACAGAATTTTGTTCACCATTGCCCGAATACATTACCTTGTAAACTTCAGCCGTGGAACATGCCTCCTTAGGCTTTATAAGAACCATTGGAATGTCCAATGGAAGCGGTGGGGATATATCTTGAACAACCTGGGCATATCAGCATAGAGTTCATTAACCGTGCAAGTATGGCAACAAAGCATATCAATTTCATTCCAATTGAATGAGATTGCATCATGAGCACGTGCAAACTCATAATAACTACAATTAGAAAACAGATCTAGGCACAAAATTGTGCTCTAAAATAAATACACAAATATACAAGAAGTCTATGAGTTCTACTGCCAGTTCTAACAAAATATTCTGACAAATTCAGGTGGTAAAGGAACAAAGGAAGCTTTAGTTATGTGCACAATGAGCTTTTCATCTTTACGTTTCCACAAACAAAAAAAGCCATGAATGAATATGCATTAGAATTTGTGAAATTAACAATACAGAATGGGTGCTAGAAAAAGAAAGAAATGAAACTCAAAATGATACTAGTTTTTATATCAGTGAAAAGAGAAAGGCAGCACAAAAACTGAAGTTATCATCAGAGAAGGATTCTAAAACTGGCACCATTCCCTAAAACACAAAATGGTCAAAATATTCCTGGCAATGTATTATGCAATCAAAGAACAAGGTTGCAACATAAAAGGAAACAAGTTAACATCTCTGACTGTGAGCCACAATTAAGGTATGATATTATCATACCTCACCTCGACCAGTACAATATGCTGCCCCATGTGAGAAAAAGAATGGAATATCTGAACCAATCTCACTCGACCATTCCTGGAGTTCCTTCTCAGTTGCAACACAACCATTGAACTGATTAGCTGCCCAAAGTGCAGTCGCTGCGTTGCTGCTTCCCCCACCAAGCCCAGCCCCAGTAGGCACCTTCTTATTAAGATGAACCTGCCCATGTTATTCCAACAAAAAAAATATATATATATAAAGATATAAGCAAACGAGGCTTTTGAGATAAACTCTAATTTCTCAGAAGCACATACATTAAAATAAAATGTATACATTCAAATTTTATATTGTATCTCACGTCTTACCCAAAAGAAGTTGTCACTGCCAGTTTTTTTCCTGTAGAGGTTAAGGGCTTTAATAATCTGCAAGAAGGAATAACAAATTTAGGAACATGAGAAAAAGGGGGCCTGGGGGCAAGGGAATCAAAAGACTCGCAGTAAGTTTGAAACCTCACCAGGTTTCTATCATCAAGGGGGACACCAGATACATTGGTTGACAAACGATCCTTGGTTTTGGATGGTGACAAAGAGAACTTAATTATATCCCCCAGACTAACTGTCTGGATTCACAAACAAGGGTAAGGGTCAAAATCAGACCATTGGAGGCCAAATAGGAAACTTCATTGCAAAATTGAGACTGAATCCAACATAGAAATATATATATATATATATATATATATTTACATATATCTCAATTCAAGAAAATTACAAACTTACATGAAAGAGAGATGCTAAATCATGATACCCATCTTCCCTTTTTTTGGTTATTCTCAAGAAAACATTAATCTATACCCAAAAGGAAAAAAAAAAGGCTATGAGCTGTTACAATTGGAAACATAAAAATGGTAAAAATAATGCAACTGAAAATTTCAAGTCAAGTCAAAGCAGAGGGAATAAATTACCTTACAAGGTGAGAACAAAGTAAGCCTTGAAAAAGGAGCTTCCTTGTCCACTTCATCTGCTAACTTGTTTAGCCTCTCATCAGGGTCATATACAATCTGAATAAAATAAAATAAACCCAACCCATAAAATATAACTGAAAACACAGACATTTTAACTTAAAAACCAAAGCAGAACAAAGAAAGAGTAAATAAAAGAAGAACCTCTAGCTGTTTCTTGGATGCTTTGACAAATGGGGTTCTTCGAAATTGAAGTTTTGCTTGGGGAGTAATTGAAGAGTGACTATTTTTCGAGGATGGAGGGAAGAAGAGATTGTGGTTACAGAGCAAATGAGAGGAAGCCATGGAATTTAAGACTGGTGAACTTTTGTAATCCCAAAGTGGATAGAAAACTTTTCCTTGAATCTGATAGTAATAATTCTACTTTGAAGTTTGGTTTCGGACAAATGAGTTTAACTGTTTTAGGCTTTAAATGGAATCGGAGCCGATTTTCTTTTGGCACAAAGGAATTTACTTGCTTTGTCTTGTCTTCTCGCGTTTGGTGACAACCAATTCTTAATTCCCAATTAACTCCAAGGCCCGTTTGGATCAGCCAGCAGTAAGGTGCGAATTTTGCTTCAATCGCGTCGTGCATCGTTTGGCAAACACTGACGTGGTGGGGTTTAGGGCTAACCTAATATTGTTATGGTAGTTTAAAAAAATTGAATTAAAAAATATGATAAGAGAAATATAGTTAAAAATTTTAAGTATTTAAAATTGTTGTAAAAAAATATTTTAAATAATTGAAATGTCTAAAAATATGTATAAAAAAAATAAAAAAGAAAGAATAATAATTTATAATTTTTTTTTTATCTTAAAAGCATTTTTCACCCAAAAAACATCTCTTAAATATTTTTTTTATTTGAATTGAAAAATCAGGCTTTTAAACTGAAAAGTCATATTTTTGTTGTTTAACATTGAAGTTAGATCAAAAGCAATTTTTGAATGCAAAAATTAATTTTAATAGTTGTAGATATTTAATTTTGGTTATTAATATTTTATTTTTTTGATCAAATTATGAATTTAGTCCTTGTAATATTATGAAATTTAAAATTTAATTCCTATATTATTATTTTTTAAAATTTAATCCTTATACTATTTGAATTTGACAATATTAATCCAGTTGATAATATTGTTATATGATCTCATTAATTTTGATGATGTGGTCATTGATCATGTTGACGTGACATTGATTGTGATGATTTATCAAAATGAATGGTTAAGATCATTGCTGGCTATTATAACGTAAATTTTTTTTTCACATGTATTTACTAACTAAACAAAATTTAAAAAATTTAGATTTAATCTTAATAAAAACTAAAAAATAAAAAATTTTAACAAAACCCTAAATTAAAATTAAATAGATCAATTAGGCTAAACTATCCAATCTTTGATCCCTAAACCCTAAACAAGTTCACCTTCAATCTCAAAGTGCATTTCTTGACATTGAGGAAGAAAAAAGCTTAGTTAATGATTAACCCCATCCCAAAGGTGGATTTTTTGACATCGATGAAAAAAGCTTGACTTTTAATTAACTTGGTTATCCAACAAGCTCGACATTTTGTTTAAACTCATTTTTGACTATCGTCAACAAATTAATCAAGTTTGTTATTTTAATGGTTTTAAGGTTTAGGGACATTGGATAAAATTTTAGGGATTTTTGTCTTTTTTTCTTACTTTTCAATTATCGTTATCAAGTAATCGAACTAACTCCTTTCATTACTTTTGTCATTTTTGTTTGTTTGTGATTTAAAATTTTGGATGGTCATAAAAATGCTCGGTAGTGGTGTATGGCCCTTGTGTGTCCTTTTGTGTTTATTATCTTTTTTTGTTGTCTGTCCATTTGGGTCCTTTTTACCTTTGTGTTTAATGTCCTTTTGTATTGTCTGCAATGACAACAATGTGTTTACTGTTCTTATAATTGTTGTAAAATAGTTATTATTGTTGAAACATTGGGTTATGTAACTTAAGCAATTAAGTTTTATCTCCCATATGCTATATTTATTGAATATTCTATATAAAATATTTGTTTATTTGTACTATGAATATATATTTATGTAATTATTTTATTTGTTTTTTTTATCATTTGTTAGTATAAGCTAGAAAGTATGCAAAGTAAAGAACCACTATGGGGGCAGATTTAATAGAATTCGTACAACAATGAGATATGTGAATGGCTTTGTAGATGAGTTTGATGAGGGTACAAATTAGATTTGTTGTTGGACAATACTAGGAATAGTGAAGTATTTAGGTTATGATTTATCAAACAGGGTTAAAGTTTACTATGTTGAGACAAACAAAACATTAAGTACATGGTTAAAGTTGTTAATAAAAGCAAATGAATGTATAAGAAAATTTGGTGATTAGTTAAAGATGAGGAAACCCATATATATATGTAGAACATTTGGGTGGTCAAATTGACAATAACATTCTAATGCCCTGCTTGAATCGATTGAAGTTGGTGAAGGTAATGAGGTTGTTGTGATTAAGAGTAATGAACCTACTAGACAACGTAAACCTACCTTAAGTGATTTTCATAGTGATGCTAAGTTTAAGGTAAACAATGAAAGAAATTAAAATGAAATGGATGTCATTGAAGGCCATGTTAAGGGTAAGAAGGATGGGTATGTGCTGATAGGAAAGCCAAAAAACTTAATAATGATGTAGATGTGAATGAAATTAATTTCATTGCTAGCTATGTTACTAATAAGGAAACTAATTCGAATGATGTTGGTGATGATTTTATGGTGGATGTAACATGAATGAGTAATGATGATTCAAATAATAATAATGAATTAGAGGCTACTAGGTAGAATCTGAGGGTTTATGTTGAGAAGTTAAAACAAATGTGTATAGGTGACTCGAATTTGAATGATAATGGTAATGATGGTGTTGAAGTTAATGCTAGTGAAAAAGGTAATAATGGTGGTGAAGGTAATGTTGGTAATAAGCTAATGATGGTGTGAGGATATTAGAGCTGAGAATGACAAAGTTGATGATTACATCAGTGAGTACTTTGAATTTTTAAACCCTAACAATTATAAGGATATTAATGATGGGTCAAATGCAAATGATAGTCTAGCAGAACTTATTATAATATTGGAGCTCTATTAATAGAATTTGAGCTTGGACTTAAATTTTTGAATATAAAGGTGTTTAAAGATGCTCATTATAAATTTCTAACAAGAAAAATATTTAAGTTCAAGTTCAAGAAGAATGACAAATTAAAAGTGAAGGTAATATGTAATGCCAAAGGCTATAAGTGGGTTATTATTTGTTCATGGTATAGTAGTAATAAAACATATATGGTTAAAACATATGTGTCTAAGCATTCATGCTTGCCTACATAAAAAACAAAAGGGTTACAACTTTTATGTTTACACGAAAGTATTGTAAACATACAACTACAATGCCCTTCATTAAGTCTAGGCATTTAAATGCATTTATAAAAAAAGAGTTAGGGATGATTGTGTCATATGATGTGTGTATGGAAGTGAAGGGGATTGTGATAAAAAAAAATAAAAGAGAAATACAATGATGAATTATCAACTTTGAATGGTTATGTGGAGGAATTGAATGAAACAAATCTTGGTAGTACAATTTTTATCACATCTAAGAAGATAACCCTTTATTCAATACCTACTTTTGAAAAGATATATATATATATATATGCTTCGAAATTTTAAAGAAAAGATTTTTAGAGGGGTGTAGACATAGTGTTGAACTTGATGGGTATTTTTTTAAATAGCTGGTCAAGGACTAATTGCTTGTGGTTATTGGTAGAGATGTGAACAATCAAATGTTTCCAATTGCATGGGCAATTATGGATACAAATACCACTACAATATGGAGGAAGAGGCATAGAGAAAAAAACCTGTAGTTGTAATTTTGTAAATGTGTTAGGTCTTCTATCTTGCCATAGTTGCAGAAACAATTACAAGTTATGGAAAGACTTCATGAAAGTTTGATTGCAAAGGAAATTTACTAAAGAAATGGCCAGTCCAAGATTGGTGCCAAGCATTTTTTGCTAATATCATTAAATGTGATATAATAGATAACAATATGTGTGAAACTTTTAATGGTATGTTTTTAGAAGTTACGTGTAAGCAAATCATTAGCATGCTAAAATAGATTATATTCTATTTTATGAAAGATTGGTTCAAAAAAGAGAGCATGTGGGTAAATAATGAAAGATTGATTATGGCCTAAGGATTATAGAAAAGATTGAAAAGTTAAAAAGGCTTTTGGCTAAGTGAGAGGTTGCATGGAATGTCAACCATGGAGTTTATTGAGAAAATGTACTTCATATAGAGAGAGTTACACTGTCATATTAAGCAAGCATTTATGTTTATGTAGGAAGTGAGATATAAATGAGATTCTTTATAAGCATGCTATAAGTGCTATACTATATGAAGAGACTAATATTATCAATTATTTAAGTTTATGATTCAATAGAAAAACATATTTATGTGCATATATACACATGTTAAACCCTATTAAAAGAAGATTGTTTTGGCTAAAAAGTATTAATGGACTAGTTATGCCTTATTTAGACAAAATGATGCTAGGTAGACCTGCTAAAAAAAGAAGAAAGGAACTATTTGAACAAAAAAATGGGTCTAAGAAGTCAATGGTACGAAAGATGATGACATGTGATTATTGTCATGAAAAGGGTCATAACAAGTTAGGCTGTTTTAAAATAGCCGAATATATAAGTCAATTACTTTATATATTTTATGACATGTGGTTTACTATGTATTTTATGATTAGTTTTGTTATTTTATTAATTGTTTTGACTTGTTATAAGCAATTATTGATAGTTTAAGGCATCAAAAAAGGAGAATAATGTTTACTAATATTGAGAATACTGATAAAGAAAATTCTAGCAAGGTAATAGGATATTCCACTATTATGATTTAGACTGTTAATGATTAGTTATTGTTATTATATTTATTAATTTAAATGGGCTATAGGCCATTATTGATATTTTAGGGTCTGAGAAAAAGAAAACAATGTACTCAAGTGCTGAAAGTGTTGATAAAAACAATCTTAGGAAGGTAAAATTATTTTGGATATTTCTTTATTACTGATTAGTGTCTGTATTATGATGTTTATGGTGTATTATCTTTTTAATAATAGCTTGATTGTTATTGTGTATAAGTTGTGAGTTTTATTCCTTCAGTTGTATAGATTAAGGCTAACAATTCAAGAAAAGATAAAATTAAAGAAAAATCATGGCTATATCAAAAAAGGATTGGGTTATACCAAAATCTTGATAGTAAAATTTTAGTATTCAATGTAAGTAGTTTATTTGTCACTTTTTTGATTAATTGTTATTGGTTTTAGTACTTATACCTTATTGTATTTCAATATAACAGCTTGGTAGACTTGGTAAGCTGATTATTGGAAGAAGAGGCATGATTTATCGGTCATACATTACTAAGAATCAATTGCTGGTAAATCTTCAAACTATACTCAATCTACTATAAAGTATAAACTTTTAATTTATAGTAACCATTGATTTATTCATTTGTAAGAACAAAAAGATTCAAAAAATTACAATACGAAATGCAATGGCCTCCGTATCAATCTCATAACAATATCATACAGTTGAACTAGCATCCATCATGGGGAAAAAA